ACCTGTCCTTTCCCCACACGGACACACTTGAGTTGCTCTGAGCCCATCCCGATAGAATAATCCAGTGCCTCACAACTGCAACCCTGCTCAGGCTCACCCGTGCCATGCTCTGCAGTGTTCCCAGCACAGCGTGGCCGCAGCCTCTGGGGCGTGCGGGACAGCTGCCTGGCTCCTGCCCCTGCTGCTCTCACCCGCTGGCACAAGGCAAGAGACTCTTCTGTCCTTGCCCCGTCTTGTGCCTCTGCTGTGAGAGGTGTGCGGTGCTCCTCTGCCTCAGGAGCTCCTTGACTTCCTTAGAATAAACACAACTGAGCAAAACCCCCAAACAGCAGTGCGTTATCCACACCATTCTCATTCCCAATCCAAAATACAGCACTTGAACAGCTCCTGAGAGAAATTATCTCTCCCCTAGCTAAAATCAGGGCCGAAGGGGAAATCATACCTGACAAATTTGGGGGCTTTCTGGGACAGGGCTACAGCATTGGTGGCAACTAATCCAAATAGGTCTGAAATGGTCTTGGAGACATCCATCTCGTTGCTAACAAAGCCAAGAGAACGCTATCACATCACCTCTGTATTTCTCCTCCACCACTGGCATGCCTGGCACCCTGCTCTGAAGTGACACATCAGACGCTTGGAGTGCATTTGCATACAGCAGCTGCCTCTCTCCTTGACGAGATGGCAATCATGTCCTTTGGGAAGCCCACCCGCATATATTGTTGTTCTTACCTTCCTGTAAGCCTCCAAGAGAAACTGGAAGAGGACTTTGAATTTCAGAAGGAATAGGAAGTAGCTCGAAAGCATCTCAGGGTTTGCAGGCCCTTAAGTCAATTGTAGAAGCTGCACCATGAATCTGTTCTTCAGATGAAATGCAAACCAAGTTGGCTTTCACATCAGCAGGCAGAGGAAGAATGGCTTAAACCAGGAACAGGTTTAAGCCATCCTCACAAACTGAAGGGCTCAATCGCCCATTCTTGACATAGAGAACAGATTTCAGCAGAACTTAGGAAATTAGCATTCACGGCCAGTGTAGATCAGACCCAGTGCAAAGGCACGAGTCTCTCCAGTGAGCAGAATCAGAAGCCACGTGAGAAACAGCTTGCTACAATTGCTTCCCCCAAGCAAAGCACCAAATCTGACTGCAGAGCAGAGAGGGGATCTGAGGGATCTGGGATGCCACCAGAAGCAGATCAAGGCTATCCCTGAAGAATCAAGTTAGGAGTTGTCATTCATAACAACAGCCTACATGTCCACACAGCCTTTTGGGTGAAACACCTGACTGCTGTTGCACAGCAGCTTATGTTATTGTGTGATGCTGGTGGTCACTTTACTATTGCTTTGTAGAGAAGAAAGGTCCATTCCTACGGAATGTGCTGTACTAGGGCAAAGAGGGTATGGCAGAAAGCCAAAAAGCCATTAACTGATTTTAGGATAAAAACAAAAAGTGTCATGAAACAGTAAATTGCTCGCCAGTGTTCTGAAAGGGAACTATTGCATATGTGTGTGATTGAAAAAGAGTAAGAAAGAGCAAAAGGTAAGAAAGAAGAGAAGGCAAGAAAAGTCAAAAGGAGGGACAAGAACTTCAGGGAAAGGGCATCCCTTCAGCTTCTTGGGATAGTAACTCAAATCAGCTTTCTCATGCCTTTGAAAGCAGCAGATGCCCAGCCCTCTCCTCAGCGTTTCTCCTCTCCCTCTCCCCAGCGCTGCCTCACATGTGACAATGACGTCTGCACGCAACAGGCAATGGGGGCTTCCACAGCAGCTGAAGAGCAGGGTGATGGCCCAACACCCTGCTGCCCCTTCCAGAGAGCCCTCTCGGCAGCACCTGCAGGCATCCCCCTCTCACCATCCCAGCCCTGCACCACTACACTGCCCCAGCCCACAGCACGACTTCACCCTCTCGTGCCCACATCCCCCCTGTCCTGCCCCAGGCAGCACCTTTCTCCTTGGCCCCACACAATACAGGCTGGCCCCAGCAACTAAAAGGCTTGGCTCTTCAGGATGGTTTCCCCCAGCTCAATAACTACAGCATGATGAGAAGAACAAGTCCTTATGATTGATCAAACCAAGAGTTTTATTTCCACCTGCTAAGAGAACCCTTTGCTTACCAGCGGAGTCCAACACAGATGGGCAGACAGACTTGAATACAATTAAATACAGGAAAAAATGAACTATATACAACAAGACAGACATCTACATAAAGACTTTTTTTCCATTATCTATGAGTTCTTGTCAATGCAAAACATTACTGGAACTCAAGTATGTTCAGATTTTTTTTCTTTTTTTTTCCCCCTAAAAAGAA